GAAGTCAGGGGAAGGTATTGAACTTCTTGGAACTCAAATTACAGAAGTTACTGAGCTATCTGATGTGGGTGCTGAGAACCAAATCCATGTCATCTGCAAGAACAGAGGGTTTTCTAACCATAGGCCATCTCTCCAGCCCCTAACCATGTGACTGCTGACTGTATTGTTCTTAAAAAATTTAGTGTTTGCTCTGATCTCAGTTCTACTGCAATTGAAACTCAACTTGGAAACTGGAATTCAGCTGAGGACATTTTACACAACTGCCATCCTATATATGTCTGAGTAGGGTGATGGAAGCCAAAAGACTCTCCCAGACTGTACTGCCATGCATCACAGAGAATAAGTGAACAGCATGGGAATCTTCTCCCGTGAAGCAAGTCTCCTAGTCCTCTGCACAGAAAGTCTTCTCTCAAGCTTCCCGGTGAGATTTCAGAAACAAGAACTGAATGAGAGCCAGATGTCTCCATCTTTCCTTCCTGGGTTGAACTTTTTATCATCATCTTCTATGCCATTGTCTGCTACTATCTGTTGGTCTGCTGTGGAAGGGGGTGGGAGATTACTTGTATTTTTAGATTCTACATCTTTAGAACAGGAAGTTCTACATTTGGCAACAGCAGGCATAAAGCAGTCACATAAAATCTAGAGATCTGGGATTGCAAACTGGTGTAGGGGTTGAAGGAATCTTTGGGGATGGATTTGGCATGTTCTGTTTTATTAGTAGTTATAAGAGTAGACTGGTGTGTTAAGCCTCCTTACATACAGGCAGGGCCATTAGACTAATTCTGGTTACACGCAGTGTGCAGAAATGATTCGTGCTGAAGCATAAGAGCAGGTGCAAGTTCTGCAGGCATTATTGTTCCCTGATGCAATAATCACTTGAATGGTACTCAGGTGATTATGCAGCTCAGGCCACCTTCTCCCTTCATCCCTCACCTTTAGTGAGAATAAGAAAGAAGCCATTGTTATAGGAAGCCATTAGGACTGCAGAGATAGTTTTTACTTTCAGTATCGAACTTTGGAACTTCAAAGCTGGCCTATACACAACATAATAAAAATATCAGTGACAAATTTTATAAGACTATATTGAGATATATGTTACAGAGCTATGAATATAAAGCGATATGATCTAGCTAAATTGAATGTTCTCATTGTCACAATCTGACCTTAGTCCTCATAAGTTCTTTCAGTTCTTAAACATTTAAGCTAGGCAGATGTCCAGAAACGTGTTCCTTTGCCATTGTAATATCATCCTATTATCTCTTTCATCAACATCAGAATTCTTTTGGGTACTAATCCATTCTCGTACTCTCAACTTCAATACTGCCCCCCCTGGGTAGATACATCTTTATATGTTGCTGACCAACCCAAGTCTACATCATAGTGCACTGTAGCTCCTAGTGTACTCCTCTAGCTGGTAGCTTCTGTGAATCACATATAAAATATCCTGCATATCAGATATTTACATTATGATTCGTAACAGTAACAAAATTACCGTTACAAATTAGCAACATAATAATTTTATGATTGGAGGTCACCACAACATGAGGAACTGTATTAAATAATTGCAGCATTAGGAAGAACCACTGGAATAGAGAGGTGGGAGTTATATACAACACAGAGGTAAGAAGCAGAGTGTGAAGGGAATGTACGCACTGTTGTTGGCACTTTGGAAAGAAAGCAAATGTTCACATATATCAAGTTTAATTATCAGTGTAATTGATCGAGCGGACACACACCTATAATTCCAGCACTCAGGAGGCAGAGGTGAAGGATCATGAGTTCAAAGCCATCCTTTGGCACCATAGTAAATTCTAGGATACCCTGGGCTACATGCAACTCTGTCTCTCAAACTAATAGAAACAAAACAAAAGGCCCTTTTACATTATTTTCAGTGAAACTGAATTTTAAGCTTGCATATTTAAACTTTAGGAAATAAGACTGTACTCTCCTAGCTAGTGGCTCCTGCGCTCACTACACACCTCTCCCGATGCACTATGGGGCTATGGTTTTCTTAATAAACAGAATATCAACATTTGTATGATCAGCATACTATGATCTCATGCGTATGATTTTCCCATCACTCAGAATGAATATAAAACCTAGTTCTATTATCTATGGTGTCATTTAAATGTCTTGATCAATATTAAGTGTTATCCAAAAGGTGACACTGGTCAAGGAAATGCATCAAAGTCAGGTAAATTTCAAGAAAAACAATTTTTTTTTTCCAGAACTACACACTTCCGAAATGGCTGTGTCTTGGCTTTCTTTTAGCAGGCATAAAATCAAGAAAGTGAAGTGTGTGTATATGTATGTGTGTTTGTGTATGTATGTATGTGTGTCTGTGTGTATCTGTGTGTATGTGTGCATGTGTGTGCCCGCACGTGTGTGTGTGTGTGTGTGTATGTATAGGGGAAAAACATGTGTCAATCAATATTACACCTCAGAAGCAGGGAAAATGTACACCACTTTTTTATAACTACATAGTCTAGGCTGGAATTCCACCTAATCCCTCTCATATTAGGTTTCTAAGGTATGAGATTTTAAGCCTGTGCCACTACATTTATCCCACACAAGTGTTAAAATGGCATAAATCAAGAACAAATGAACTAATAGAATGGCTATTACTAAGAACACACAAAAAATGCTAGCAAGGACTGTGCATGTTGGAGGGAACGTAAATTAGTCCAGTTTCTATGAAAATAAACATGGATATTACTAAAAAACCTTAGCATAAAACTACCATGTGATCTAGCTTTATCTTTCCCAGAGATATACCTGAAGGGATCTAAGTCAACATACCACAGGAATATCCGCACAACCATGTTTATTGCATCATTATTCATAATAACCAATATATTCAACCGACCTAGGTTCCCCTTAGGAAACTAATGGATAAAGAAAATTATATTATTTTAGCCACAAAGAAGGATGAAGCTATGTCATTTGCTGGAAAATGTATGCAACTGGAAATCACCATGTCAAGCAAAATAAGTCAGGCAAGGCAATACAAATATCACATGTTTTTCTCGTTTGTAGAATCTAAAACAATGGAGAAGAGAATGGCATGAAAGGAGACAGGGACCACTACAATACAGGAAGTAGATCCAAGGTGGAAAGAGGCAGGGTAGAAATGATTAAAGTATGCATGTGTGTGACTGAAAACAGTATAATGGGAAATAATTAGGGAAAGTGTTTTCCTTGGACAAGTTCTCATTTACTGTCTTTGCATGAGTCTATGATGAGCTGAACCATGCCTTTGAAGACATCCCTCTAAGCTCAAGCAAAGGAAGCTCAGCATCCCCTGCAGACCATGTTGATGTGCTGAGCCTGTTCAGATCAATTTCTATACAAAATTCATAGCTTCATAAAATACTTTAAATACACATGTATGTGTTGTGGGTTATGTCATTCATCCATTTACTTTTCCACTCAGGACATTTATTGAAGTATTGTGAGGTTCCAGGCAGCCTTCCATGGCTCACAAGCCGGAGTGAACAAAGTGGTGCTCTCCTCTGCCACATGAGTTATATATAACACATATGGGGGAGGGAGGGAGGGAGGGAGAGAGAGAGAGAGAGAGAGAGAGAGAGAGAGAGAGAGAGAGAGAGCGCGCAATAACATGAGAGCTGGACGATTATTTAAAAGTCACGATGAACTGTATAATAGGAATATTGGAAAAAGACTCATCAACTTTCAGTCTTTTAATAAATGTGGCAAATTTTAGGTCTCTATACGGAGGAAGATTGCGCCACTTTAGCAAAAGGCACAGTTACGTATTATGTCTTCATACTACCCAATGCTCCTACCAGCCCAAGGAGCAGAGGCTGGGGCTGGAGGCTGCATTTTTTTTTTGTCTCCGTTATTTCTATTTTGCAAACATTTCTCTTTGTTTTTCTTCTTCAGAAGTGTAGCTTTTATCAAGAAATCTTGCAGCCTATATAAAATTAAGCTTATTGTTTTTGATCATTTCTCTGATCATAAATGAAATTTATATGCACAAATTGATGAGTAGAATCAGAAGACTGTATATCATATACATTTTTGGATCTTGAAATACATTTTGAAGTGAGTCTGTAGGAAGGTTACATTTTCTCACTAATATCTTAGGATATGGGATATTGTGTGGATTTAAATGTTTTTATCCCAAACCATACATTATTGCTTTTCTTCCTTTCTTTCTTTCTTTCTTTCTTTCTTTCTTTCTTTCTTTCTTTCTTTCTTTCTTCCTTCCTTCCTTTCTTTCTTTCTTTCTTTCTTTCTCTCTTTCTCTCCTTTTTTCTTCTTTCCCTGTTTCTCTATCTCTCTTTCTTCCTTTAGTATGTCATTGGTGCTTTATTAAATTATGCATTGCTTTTTAGTGGTGAGGTTGACTTTTATAATGTTTGTTGGTTCTTCAGCATTTTTCTTTTTATTATAAAATAGCTATGCATGAAACACATTATTTTCTGTGATTTTTCCAAGTGACAATTTACATGCACAATCTTTGAGATTAAGAAATATTTTATGCATTCATTTTTGTTGACCTCTTTCCTCTGATTTCTTTTATTATTCTGCTCAGAAAATGTTTCATAGCCCAAGATCATTAAAAATACACATGTTGTACTTGTTTGTTAAATGTTTTAATTTTCATTGATGGATTTAACTTACCTGTTTTTATTTTGACAAGATAGAGCCTTAATTTGAGCCTTTTCCAATAGTCCATTTTCTGAATGTCATTTACTAATAAAAATAATTATTTTTCCATAGGCAAATGATGCTTTACCATTTGTCTAGTTTATATACACTGGACCTGGAACTAGAAATAATCTGCCTAAAAGAGTTTGCTTTAAATGTGGAGAGCGACTGTTTCCAGTACTTTTTGTCCCAGTTGTTAAAAGATTACAACAATCCTTAATACTGTACTGCTGGAATGGGTGAGACTAACCTGCGGAGGCATTTAGGACCCAGGGGAAAGCCAGGCTTGGTATAGAAGGACAGTCTCTGGCGCACACGCCTCCTACCCAAATCACAGCCCCGTGCTGCCCGGCTCTCATTCACAGCTTTCTAGAGAAATCTGAGCTCCAACTGCCAGGATAGGGGATCTCACCCACCCAGTTCAGCCTCGAGGACACCTGCAGAAACACATTCTCAAAGCAAGCCTGGGCGGCGGTGTGAAGGTATTTGTTGCCTTTTTCTTCCTTCTGTGTTCGCAGCGCCTCCCCGCCCGTCCCCGCTCTAGCGGTGCCATGGCTGCGGCGTTTCAGCACTTCGGCGCGTGGACAGCTCCCATCTGCAATCCCACTGCACTCCATCCCTTCTGCACCCCACTCTTCACCGCCTCCGCGGTCCATCCTTTTGCCACGCCGCACAGCCTGCGCTCCCCAGCCATCAGCACCCTATCTCCACCATCGCCGTCATCATCTCCACCACCACCGGCGCGGTAACTACAGTCCACACAACTGTGTCTTGTCACTTAGACAAAGCCTGAGGTCCGCAAGATAGAGAGGGAAGAGCTCAAGTTCTCAGGCATAGAAGGGAAAGTTCAGGTGGAGAGACCCCTGAAAACAAAGAGAGCCGTCTGCTTGAGAGAAAGGGGAAGTGGAGGCAGCAGGAAGAGACCTCAGCAAAGGGACAGATGGGGACTTGCCAGACACCAGCAGTTAGCCAGCTGCCTTTCAGCAGATTAGAGACTGTTTAGTTCAGGAAATTAACATGGCCTGAGGCATAGTGTGATTCCAGGAAGAAATGTTAGCTCAGCCCCGATATTCTGGTTTTCCAATGGAGAGTCACCAGGAAGCAGGGTGGGGGCGATGGGTGACTCACAGCACCCACATGGCTGTTTTTCTTCCTAAGCATTTACCGTAGAAACTCTGAAATTAAGTTTTTATTGAACTGTTCTATAAAATGAGAACCCCAAAGGTTAACTCTGTGGCCAAAATGAAAATTAAAACGATGGTCGTAAGAACCTAACGAATAAGGCTTTCACTAGGAAATTCTATTTCCTCAGACGTCTCCTTTTCTTGTCTACTTACTTCAATTACCCAGTCTTAAACCTCTCCTGGAAGGAGAACAGATATATTCTTTGCCCAAATGACCAAAGTGGTAATGATATTCAGAGCAGATGGCCTGGCTTTGTTCATTACTAGTCAAGGACTGGCTCAGATTTGGAAGATGAGATTTTTGTGTGCTTTCTCAGTAATCAGGCGATAACACCATTTCCCTATAAATAGTAAAGGGTAATAGAGTGCAGAAATTGAAAAGGCATTTATGTAACTGTGGTTTGCCTGGCTCTGCTTTACAGTGCTATCATTTTCTATCAAAGCTGATGGGGAGTTGAAACACCTTTCAGATAGCCCATTCATTTGGACCTGATGGTCCAGTCCTAGGTCATGGCACCTATTTGATTTAACCAGGATCATTTGCTTTATAAGAGCTAACAAAGTACAGCAAACAAGTGCTTGCATCTGTCATAAACAAGTGTATTGAAAGGGACTCACTGAATTGATTTTACTGAACTGCAAAGTATTGTAGTTTCTTTTGCTGTTGTTTTTGTTTTGTATATTTTTATTGTTTTTGTCAAGATAAAAATCGAGATCTTAATTTAAAAGTGTGATATCTAAGTAGAAATGTAGTCAGGTCACTGGTCACAAGAACATTTAAACTAAAGCACAGAAAGCCCCACTCAACAGTACCCTCGTGTATTTAATCTGCCTCTTGGAAGAGGGATACTGAAGCTAGTTTTGTTCTTGCTTGTCTTTAGAGGCACCACCCAAAAGTAAAGAGACTCACAAACAGATATGTTCTGGAAGAAGCCTTGTGCAAAAATTTATGCTCAGTAATCTTCATGAATGAGGACTAGTCACATCATGACAAAAGTTTACTTACTGTTACTAATTATATGAACTTAGGCTCAGTTCTATTTGTCTCAAAATTTTACTCATTTTTTTAAGCTCAAAGCATTAAAATATTTGGCAAAGCGTATTGCATTTAGTCACCTACTTACTGTCCTTAGACTGATAGTATGCATAACAACCAGGGACTCTCAAGTCTCTGGGAAAGACTTTTAAAACTCCCTTATCTGTGAGCAAACAATGGTCCAGACCAGGAGGTTGGAAAATGTATCTGTATTACCAATTTGAGCTGCTTCACCAGAAACACAGGCCCGGAATGCAAAGCTTCCAAAGATGCTGTCTTCCTGTGCTTAATGTAATTTCCTGAGGCGGTTGAGATTTCAAAGCAGGGCTGCTTCAGCGAGATTTACAGGCACCTGTCTCAGAAGCAATGCTTCTCCTCTCTGTATGAAATATGCCAAGCTTATTTATTTTTATAGAGTGCTACTATTGTGGCTTTCATACATTGTTTTTTTTTTAGTTAGGGCTGTTTATCTTTCATATTGATAATAACAAAACTTTCTCATTTAAAAATGAATTTAAAGGCAAAAGGAAACATTTTGTTTTCTAGCACAGTGCCCTCTTCGTGGAAGGGTATAGAATTTTAGGATCTGAGTGTCTACTTCCTAAAACACGAAATCTTGGACTCTTAGAACAGATTATGTCTGCTTACATCTTTGGTTTGATAAGAGAAACAACTTATTATCTCTGAGAAATCTACCCTTGACTTCACAAACTCTGTTGCTGCAGAACCACCCTTCATAAATGGACTCTGGCTGGCGCTGATCTTCTCTGCTCTTTGTGACACTGTGACTCAGACAGAGGAGGTGACAAGCAGCACAGAGATAAAAAGCCTGGCACTTGTATGAATATATTAACCCAGAAAAGCCCTCAGGGTCCTCCCTTCTTATACCCTTTCCCAAATGGTCATTGTTGAGATAATTATCACTCATTCGGGTTTCCCTGGAATGAAGCTTTAAGAGAGAGCCCACAGTGTGAATGACCACAAGTCTGCAACCCTCATTAGCCCAAGTGCTGCATCGCTTTAGAGAAAACTGAACTCTATTTCCAGTCCAAGTTTTTCTTGGCTTAAAGAAAGTTTGGTTCACCTGGACGTATAAACCAGCTGGTCAGACTCTGTCTGCCCCATAAAGAACCTTCATGTATTCAGATATAAGTTCATTATTCCCCCACCTTCTCTCAGTTTTCTCCATCCGGTCACCCTGTGCTGTCTATTTTCTGTGGACTTACTCTATGTCAGGACATATGGAAAATGCCCTTTGTAGTAGACTAATTTCCCAGATACTTTTGTTCAGCTTGACTTCTGTGTAAGGAAGAATGTTTCAGGGTGAGGTACTCTGTGTCCTGGGCTCTAACAGCTGAATCTCTGATTCTTAGATATCATCCAGATATCTAGCAATCCCTTGCCCATTTCTGTTTCTTAAAATAGCATTGCCTCAATTCAGATTCTATTATTGCTCAAATGGTATTATGTAAACGTCCGTACCTATATGTGTGTCACATGCATAGGTTACTTGGTGTTCTGAATTTTACAGATTTGGAAGAAACAGGAACAAAGCGGTGGGCCAAGAGAAAATGGAGGGGTTCAAGTTAACAGGCTTTATAAGCAAACTTCTCAAAATGGAGTCATCTGACATTTTTTCACACTTTCTTTTTTCATTCTCTTTATTTCTCCTTATTTCTCTCTTCCTCTCTTCTTTCCCTCCTTCCTTTCCTCTTTCTCTTTTCCTCCTCATCCCTCTTCCTTCTCCCCACTTTTGCCTTTCATCTTCCCTTTCTCCCATCCTTTCTTTCTTCCCCTTTCCTTCTTTTTATGTGCTATATAGTATGCAAGCATTGGTTGATGTAATTTATAGGGTGACATAGTAAGCTCCGTGGGAGCCATTGCCCGTATGAACAGATATGCTAGCAACATGCTTTGTTTCTCTATTACTGTGGTTCTGCTGCCCACAGACACTGTGAGATTTGCTTTGGGACAGGTCATCCATCCCAGCAATTTGAGGTCATTGCTTCTCAGATCTGATTTTATTGCTCAGTCAGTAAGTCAAGGGTGCTTCTCAGTAGTCTGTGTTCCCAGTAACCTATGAAGTTATGAGAATGCTACTGACTAATGAGCTACTTTTGGTGAAATTCTTGATTGATACATAGTAGTTACACATATTTGTGGGACACAGTGTGATCTTCCAGTGAATGTATATACTGTGCAATGAGCAAATCAGATTGTCAGTTCCTCATATTGAGAACCTTTCTACTTTTCTCTTGGTTTTAAGATATGTAGTCATTGTAAACTGTAGTTGACCCACAGTGCTCTGAAATAATGGAGCTTGTTGCTAAGTCTAGTAATGTTCTGGTACTTGTCTCACTTCTTCTCCATCCTTCCTCCCCTTTGCGCCTCTACCACTCTTCTACTAAATCAATGTGTTTTGTCTCTTATAAGTGAGGGAAAGCATAGTATTTGTTTTTCTGTGTCTGGCATATTTCACTTAACATGATGAATGGACCTCCCTCAAAGAAGGAAGGACAATAGTTATCCCTCTTATTTAAATTTCCTACCATCAGGTGGAATTAGTAATGACCATTAACTACAATGAAAGGCAAACCATTCCAGCTTCCGAGGAAGTTCCAAGGTCAGTTGAGGGGGAAGTTGTGGAGGCTCTTCTTTCCTCTCATCCAACTCCAAAGCCTCTTTCTCCATTCTACGTTCACCTGGCAGTTTTCTTCATTTTGATCCTTGCTGGGCCCATTGTTGTCCCAACTACATTCATGAGAAGAGCCTCAGTTACGTAGATGACCTGGAAAAGCAGAGTGAAAGAGGCAATTTGATGCCAATTTGGGGAGCCTCATCTTTCATACGCCTCTAGATTATTTTTCTCAAATAACGGAGTCCATTTGGAGAAATATCTTTTTCCTTTGAGACAAAATAGTCAAGCGTTTCCATCTCCTCTCTTCCTCTCGCAGAGATATACCTACAAAACAGTCCTGATTCACTTTGGATACGGAGTGCCAACTGCTTGGGACAGCTTTTGGCAGGAGAGCAACATCCTATGAAGACATTTCAGTCTAATTTTCCACATATCTATAACCTTTTCCACCATGCACTCTCTCCACAAGATTAGAAAGAGAAATGTACCCTAGTGCAAACCTTCTCCCACCTTAAATGACATAGAGGCAGCAGGAACCTCTACTGGTTTCCAGCTTGCCTAGCCCCCTTTTGCTTTGTCACACAGTAAACTAAAACCATGAAAGATGACAAAAGATTGTTCTAG